TGATACCAGGCTATTCAATATTTCATTGTGCTCATTTGATTCTTTAAGTGTGCTATTGTACTTATATTTTACTTCAGCATATTGTGTTTTTTTTATAGTGTATTTCTAGGTCATTGACTTCTCGGCACATCATGACACGACCTGGTGTTTACATACAACACATTTACGAGTAGACATGCATAAATGTAAGAGCAATCAAAAATAAGATCACAAATAAATTCAATTAAAATAGGTAAAAATAAAGAATTCAGGAAGTTCTAGGCTTTGCACTATTCCAGTTTGACCCATTTTTAACTTTATATTATCAATATCTCCTGGAGATAAGTATAGACCCTGACTCCCATTTTAAACTTTATCTTCTTTTTCTCCAGAGACCTTATTTCAAGCAAATATTTCTCGCAGACTGTGACAAACAAAATCAATAACGTGGTCTTATTCATAATGCACTAAAAACCATGATCATAGTCACGCTAAACTGTAATAAATACACCTCCTTAATACATTGTATGACATCTTTGGCACACAAATTAAACACAGTTACTGTTTTATTAAGAAATAAATTAGGGTTGAATTTGACCTTTTTGATTTGTCTAATCACCATTTCGACTCTTCTCTAATTTATCCCTAGAGCATAGAAGTATGTCAATTATATCTTGGCAACATGCATTGTTAATCTTCCAGTGGTACACAAGACTGACTGTGAGGTACCAAAGATGGTTCCAGGTTTGTCCCTATACAAGAATCCAAATAACAGAGAGGCATTAAAAAGTCTAAAGGTGTATGGATTCCTGCATCTTACATGAGATTTTTTTGGGGAGGGGTGGGAGGGTCCCAGAATAACCAGAATTATTAATATGTCTTAGGGACAACCCTGTGTTTCTGTTACAATGTACTCATACCTTTAGAGTTGGACTTGATTCTGGGACTCGGTCTCCGGGAACAAAACTGTGTCGCCATGATGTCGGAGACGGGACTGAGGGTACGTTGTCAAACTCCTGTAACTTGATTGGCTTTACAACCCCCCAGTAAATACGGAGTGGTCCTTCTATCACCAATTTATCTGTCCTCTACAATGACAATTTAACAGAAATTAAGTCAAATACTTTTTAAACACAGAGAGTAACAATTATTAATTAATAAATAAAATGAATAATAAATCAATAATTCATTGCCGCATGTATATACACATTACTGTTGTTACATGTACCCCAAGAGTGTATATTAAAATGCTGATCCACTTTGAGATATGACCTTGACCTAGCATATCTTTAACCTTGACCTTTAATTATAGTTTATCGGTATATTTAGTCTAACTATAGCATTTATTGTCCTTATGGTAATATCCTCAGTAGAATTGGATATTTAAGGCCATGCAAGCTTCTTATTCCTCTTACATTTCCCTTCTCACACCTTTCATGTGTACATTGTACATACACTGAAGTAAACAAGTTCCATGGAAAATTATAAATATCCATCATTCCTTCTCAGATTGTTTATTATTAAAGATAAATCTCTAGTTCAGGCTAAGCTTCTGTTTATAGTTAACTTTGCCATCTCTAGGCCGCCCCTGACCAGCGAGTGTAGATTCCTCTTCAGTATCCCTATCATGTATCTGATAATCCTGGTTAACAGACACCAAAGAGACATGATGACCACTGAGAAAGTCAAAACACTTATTCCTCTCAAAGAAAAATGGCTCCAAGAAAATTAAGAGATTGGACAGTTTAGAAGCACTGCAGTATACATGTACAGGCAGTGACTGATACATGTAATGGGTAAACAAATGCTGCCCCTTTGATTGGCTAGCTTGATTATTTCTGATAATTAACAACACATTGTTGAAATTATTTTTGTTCATCGTTAGTGATTGCTGGCATTTCGTGTATTCCATATGTCACAACAAGAGATATTTGGTGGGTAAACATTTGATGATAAATCACTATTTCTATGTTAATTTTGATGAAATTGTTATTTTAGTATGTGATAAATTATATGGAAATTGAGAACTCATGTCCCAGTGGAGCAAAATGCATGGCAATATATAATCACAGATATTTTACAACACAGAGAATCTAATTTAGTAATTGGTTTTGGAAGCCTCGCATTGGAAAAAACTTTGTCATATACAATAATTTGTCACAGAAAAAAATAAATCTAATGCTTTGTCCCCAATCCCACTACCAGGAATATACATGTTGTTAAAAATAAATCTTCCTACCAGTGTATAAAGGTATGCATAGTTTTGGTATTGATATATGACTTAAATATATTTAATCAACTCAAAATGATAAATCCATATATACACACCTCCTTGATAGTTAGGGATTGTCTTTTCTTGCCTTCATAATAAGCATTGAATTCACTTATCTTCTTTATGAGCTCTCGTCTACAATAGAAATGAAATCGTTAAAGGCACAGAAATACTTGAGGGTACTGATAAGATTCAACAAACTGTACAAATGTAATGAATAAAACATACACAATTATTCACCAGTTTCTTTACACTGCTGCACGTTTCAATAAAAAATCATGCCAAACAAACCATTCACAAGAAAAACCTGTTATTATTATACAAGGGTAACCTAAACAACTCGGTGTTAGTTTTCTAGAGATTTGTGTATTCCACATACAAACCACGGTCTTAAGCATGTATCAACTAGATCAGCTAGAATAAAAATCAATGTCAAAAAAATGTTGGAATTTAGACAACAGCATCAAACGACTGACATATTTATGCAAATCTTGTGAATTCAAAAATGCAAAACAAAAACACAAAGGTAAGACAAAAATTTCAAAACTGTAATCCCAAACATCGTTCATACTTACTCCGCCAAGTCAACCAAGGTTTCCTGTTCGTAATCAATTATTGTCTCCATTTTGTCCCTCGAAAACAATCAAAGAACACACATAGTCTTACAGCCTCACCATCATTACACACAGAGATATATAATTAGGGTAATTTAGGTGACAAAATGTAAAACAACTTAAAAATAGTGCTGCATGACTGCTAGACGGACATGTAGAGATAAATCCATAAGGACTGTACAGTGAACTGATAGCTGGCCATTGAGACATAGCTAGAGCATCGTAATAGTTCCTGCAGTGTGTGGAGTTCAGGTCAAGGTGTAATATCAGTATTGATAGGGAGGGAAATAAAATTTACATCTCCCTCTCTCTCCCACCTAACATCACCTGCAATCACTGCCCTCTACCTCATTACACTGGGTTCTTACCGTGACACAGTACTGAACCACACACACACACAGGTGTAAGATGTTAGGAACGCATGAGTGGAGATTCCTTAACAGTCTAAAGGCTATCAAATGCTTAATTTGATCATTATTGATATGGACTGATTGAATATTAATGGTGGGCTAGTAAATACTGCTCTATATGGGGCTACAATAGGCTGAGGTATATGGGTCAGTATTTAAATACCTTCTAAGACTGACCCCCTGAACTATTTTCAGTTTTGTCTGTATTCTACCTGCCTTGCCTGCCCTGCATAATAATTTGATATTGAAACTCCCCCTACAGACAGTTATCAATATTACACATTACATTGAACAAAACTCTGATAAGAATATTTTAAGTAAATAGGAAGAAAAATTTATCAATATTTTCTTACAACAGCGACAAAAACCATGCACTCCTTATAACTGATAAATATGTTATACATATATAATAAGCACTATATGCCTTGTGGGGTCAATGGAAAATTATTAAGCATATGTTATACTAAATCCAGACCATGAATTTATAATACCTGTCTGTCTGTGTCTATAATTTTGATTTTCTTTTGCAGGTTACTGTGTTGTGAAGTATAATCTTTAAATTTTGTATACAGGTACATCAGAATTACTGATTTTACATATATAATATGTATACCACTGGGATTGACCTTGGCCACTGACCTTGACATCAGTTAGTAAAAATATTATCATCTTCCCCTGCCAAATGTGGGAAGCATATATACAGCAGCTTTATTATAAAACAAGTGTTTCTCTGCAGATACTTCAATGAAATAAATTAAATTTAATTTTTGGAGCACTAAAAAATACAGTCAAACCTTAATTTTTATGCCAAACTTGATGGGACAAAGGAAAACCTCTAGATATTGAGGGAAAAATACAGAAAATAGGTGATTTGGACTTCCTAATGACCTTGACATATCATGGTATACTTGAGATATTAGTGTTCAAGATTCTGAAGTTGAATGTTATATTGCAAACAGAAAACATTTTAGTTTTCCCCCAACTTTATAGGAACAGTCTCTTAAAAGACTTAATAGAAGGAATTGGCAGCACTATACAAAAGTGATTTGGACTACTTCATGACCCTGACATATCCATGGTATTTGAAATATCAATTTTTCGAGATACTTAAATATCACTGTATATTGCAAACAGAAATTGTTTTTGTTCTTTTCTTAATTGGAACTGCAACTTTATATAGTAGGAATACTTGTTATCGCAATTACTTAACTTAGCATGACCTTGACATATCCCCTGGTATTTGAAATATCCAATTTTTTTGAGAGGAGCCAATCCTAAAATGTTGCATTTTTTACGATATTTTTAACTAAGTGGACTCTTCTCATTAAATTTTCATTAAAAATTGTCACATTTTAAAGATGATAAAATGTTCCATTTGACAATGTATATTGCAAACAGAAATTTTACCCAACTTAATTGGAACAGTGACTTTATATAGTAGGAGTTGGCAGCATACACATGTGGTGTATGTCCAGGCAAGCTACATCTATCTACCTAATAAAATAAATTTCCAGAAAGTCCAAACCATCTGACCATCACTGCATGATTTCATATTTATAAGCAGCATTAAGTTGATTCCAAAGAGAGATATCGATCAGATTCAAACACCACATCAGATGAGTTTATACATTTTCCTGATTATTATAAACATAAAATAACCTCTTACGTATATCATCACGGATGTTTGTTTTTTCCTCCAGCTAGTCAAGAATGCTCTTTCATTAAATGACAGGCATCATATGCCTGCTGTCTATTTTTAAAGTTGACAAAATTAGCCAAATTTTGTTAGCATTTATTTATATACATGCATTTACATCATATTTCTTTTTGGCAGTGCTGCTGCAACATACCAGGTAATTTAGAGTAACCCCCCTTCTCTGACTGAGTGATGTGAGTGAAATTTAAGCCCTGCCAGAGACTGAACAACCAATTAATTTCTGTGCACAGTTCATAACAAACCTTATAATCTATAATTAATTGTAGATAATAATGCTGTACTACATGTATGCATATTGTGTAATGGTTTTGGCTGAGGATATTGGCCTGGATAGCTCAGTTGGTAGAGCACCTGAAAAAAATTACAAAAAAAAATTTATTGTGAATAATTTGTTAAAAAATTACTATGTAATCCCTGATAATTTTGAAGTTTTATGTGATCATAGAGGGCGAAGACCATTTAAGGAGTTAGGAAATCAATGTAATGGTTTGGGCCGTGGATATCAGCCTGGATAGCTCAGTTGGTAGAGCAACTGACTGGAGATGCAGAGGTCCCGGATTCGATTCCTGGTCCAGCCATACACTTTCTCCCTTCCTGTTACAATTGTAATAGACCAATATCCACTAGACAATTTCTGAACAGACTGTACTTGAGGGTCCATAAGAAGCAATAGTAACAGTCAGTCTGACATATCTAAGATAAACGTCTTAAAGTTTGAATTAAGGAGATCACATTCAATTTGAGTGCACACCATCCGTCTATACCCTAACAAGTCTCCTGTAGCTCTAGGACCCCCCCCCCCACCCCCCTCTTATATTTGCTTGGACCATCATTGACAAACATGAATGGATTTACATGTATTTAAAATCAAGATCATATGACAACCGATGAAAATTTTATATCTATTTAAATGACGCCATAAATGTAATCATTGTTAAATTGCAACATAGGAAAGGCTCTAAAAGGTCACGACTACGACTCAATATTGAATATCACCTGATTACCTTTTATCAGGTGAATAGATCTGTGATAAAACCACAACGATAAACGAATAAGGAAGCGATAATGGGTACAGATTACCGGTGTCCAATTTACCTGTTCATTTCTATCTCTTTCGCGTCGAACCTTCCACAAGCATCATCAAAAACAACAACTTGTAAAACGATAATACATCTGGCGGAAGCTGGGCTTGAGGAGATTTCCGGGTAAAGGGGAATAACTCGCGCAAAATAAAAAAAATCCAGAGGCGGATGTTGTCTTATTGGGCTAATCGAACAATTTACAGAGCGGGAAATAAAATGCAGATTACACGTTCCTACAACTGAATATCTCTACAGACACTCCACCCCCACAAAAAATAATCAAAGTGATGCATCTTTCGGTTATTTCTAGCTGCAAAACTGTAGCTCTCCGAAAAAAATATATATTGATAGACCGGAGAGCTACAGTGCCACCCATTTAAACAACTGTATATTTATTGCGCACAAAAAAGTGCGCTCGGTTCTGGATTAAATCTTCCAAATTCTTATCTCAATTGCAAAAAAACTATATTTCAATAAAGCCCTTACTCCTCTATCAATTGCTTTCGTAGTTTACATCTGTATGAAGCGCGTTGGACCGAATTATCTTGGAAACCAAAATGGCAGTATAAATAGGCGAAATTTTCGATGATCTCAATTTCAGAGCCAGGAGGGCTATTAAACACAATTATACGGAATGTTTTGTTATGGAAACAGTGAAAGAATATGTTAGGAACACACGGTTAGTAACATTTTGAGCTGACAGTTTTAAAAACATGGAGAAATAAATCCAGTACCGAGCGCACTTTTTTGTGCGCAATAAATATACAGTTGTTTAAATGGGTGGCACTGTAGCTCTCCGGTCTATCAATATATATTTTTTTTGGAGAGCTACAGTTCTGCAGCTTGGATATTTCATGGTGGACTTCACATTATATAAAGCCCCCCCCCCCCCACCCAGCCAATCTGTATGTTTGGATGTAGACCTAATCAACTAATGGGGGATTAAATCAAGTAAGCTGAGTAGTATAAATTGAAATGTATTAGAGCCTAAATGTTTTAAACATACATTTCCATATAAACCTTACAAGTAAAATTTGGTTTATAAACACGCCACTCAAAGATAAAACTACTCACTCTCGCGGTGTGTATTCTGACGGGTCCTTTTGGGGAGTTTTCTTTGGGGGACTGGAGAAAAAGTCAAACTCCATGATTTGATTTGGGACTGCTTTGGCTTCACGCACTTCGTGAGAATTGCGTTTCAGTTTGGGACTAATGTTATGTTGCGGACTGCCGTTACTGTGTATCATCTTTCCACTTTCGAACACTTCTTTCAAATCAAAATCATATTCTCCGTTATAAAGTGTGCCGTCACCGTTTCTCTTGAAGTTTGCGGGTGACACCACATTGGAACCATATCCCATCATCTGGGGGCCAAATAGCTTGGCATAACATGGTTTGTGACAATATGGCAACCCTTTCCTCTGAAATTTAATTTAAAAAAATCGATATGAAATCTTTCATTTACCAAACTAGGGTTTCTTGCATGTCTTGATTTTCTCAACAGAGATAATCAAAAGAATTGTTCAAATAATATTTTTTATGCTTTTATTTTTGTATTGTAATGTTAAATGTCAAATTCATATTTTTAAAAAAATTAATTATTATTCGAATATTAAACAATTATTACTGTTTTTTTTTTTTGGGGGGGGGGGTCAAAATACGATGGTTTAGCAACCTAAGGAGTATAATAATATTGTACTCCTGAGGTGGCTATATCATCGTATTGACTTAAAACAGCAATAATTACTTTAATATATTGTTCAATAATTAAAAGATATTGAACATTGTTAAGATAAACCAAAAGTAAAAATTTACTTGTCAGTTAGATTTTATTTGGAGGGGGGGTCCCTGTCCCTCGGAAAATCAACCCCCTATCAATAAACTCGATCCCTTATAAGTTATGTTCATCTGAGTCGAGGACAAAAGTAAGTAAATCAGCTTTCCAAAATTATTAGTATAAAATTGAATTTCTTGATCTATTTATAGACCAATGTTGACAAAATAAATTCTTATATTAACCTGGAAAATCACGTGCAAGTGAATCTATGTAGTAAAAAACGTCCACATTATTGGATCTTAACCAATCAGATATAGGAAATAATCAATCATATAATAAAAATATTTTGTGCGCATTCGTTCGCAAGTACCGCCAAATTCGAATTCATCATGCTAGCAATTACACATATCTCTTTTTTGCAAGTCCTATAAAACACATCAAATATTCGAATTCTAAATCTCAACTCTTTATATGAATACCAGACCAGAATAGACTTTGAAATCCATAAATTTGTAAATTATTAAGAGTTTCAAATGCTTTTATATTTTTTTTAATGAATTTCCTTTTTTATTTGTAAGGAAATTTTTGATTGCAAGCATCTGTTAACGTTTCGGGCTTGTAATTAACATCGGAAAGTTTGGCAAAAGAAATAGACACGTGTTTGGGTATACGCGTCCCGGACTTACTTATAAAGCATTTTTAAGATCCCAGGTTCATGTACAAAAACCAAGTTCCACAATTTTGTACTGTGATGCTATTTACATGTGGGAACAGCCGGAACAGACATCATTTTAAAAAATTCGTTAATTTTGTATATCCATAAATGATAATGTATATGAAAAAAATGTCATTAAATCCTAAATAGAAGATGCTCACTCCGTAAATCGTGACCAATTTTTTACTTCGTAATTTTGTTGTCTGAAGTGAACATTATATAACAGCCAATTCTTTCATTCATTTATCATTGTTCTATTCCTAAAACATGCCTGGACCGGGACAAGGATTCGATCAATGACAGAAGAACCGCGTGTTTTACAGCTGATCAGACAATCCAATAATGGGTGCGTTCACAGTTCTACCATTAGTACCAACTTTCAATATACCATTGGTACAAATCCTACTGTACAAACCCTGAAATTGGCAAATATTTACCAATGTTACCAATTCCAATGGAGACATTTCAACTCTTTATAATTATGCCAGACACAAGAAAATCGAAGCAGAATATCCGACAAACAAACCACATTTCACACTTCTTTAGAAATTATAATCCATTTAATGGATTGTAATACTTCAAAATCATGAATATAAGTGTTTGATATGCTTTTATATATATATTTTTAAAAAGAATGATGAAATTTCCTGTTTTATTTGTAACTAGCTGTGACGTCATTTACCAACACTAACCACACTCTGAGAAAAATATACATGGCAAAAAACATTGGTACCAGTGGCATGCCAATGGTAATTAATTTTACCAACGGCAACTTTTGTCTACCAACGGCAGAACTGTGAACGCACCCAATGACTGATAGAACAGCAGTCTGCGAGTAATCCTTTAAGTGTGTCAAAAACACATTAAACTAGTGCTAATTGTAACGGGGACCGTTACAGATGTTCCCCAAACGCTCCCCAACTCCCTTTTGGTGCCATATTCCCTGTAAGCTTCATTAAATAAGACAACCTCTATGCATCTGAGATTTTAACAACATTAACAAAGAAGTCTCATTTAAACTTTAGCATTGATACATGTGGGCATATGCATGACCATATCATTTTTTATATTTTAATATACTTATTAAAGTATTTTCCAAAATTATAAAAAAAAAATTTTGTGTATGTTTGATTTTTCCTTTCACGTGCAATGATGAGCATGGTGACCATATGAAAAGTCCATTACATCTATCTATGTTCTAAATTCCACCTGAATTACAATAGAAAAGTTTCAGCCAATCAGATTGCAGCACATGTACACGCACGTGTATGTATGTGCATGGTGACCATACAATTTATTTTCTATGTTCAAATCCCATTTTGTTGAAAACCAAGGAAGTTATAGCTGTTTATAGTTTCAGCCAATATTATATAACAGCCAATTGCTTTATTTCATGTCATGCATGGCTATGTTCAAAATTTCAAAGGATTTCGTAAAAAACAAGAAAGATATTGAGACTTTAAGCCAACAGAGCGAAGTGCACGTGCATGCGCGGGACATTTTCACCATGTCGATGTCTATACTACTAATATATCCTCACATTATGAGTTTCAAAGCATTTCATTTAAAAATAGAACAGTTGTGGCTATTACATTTCACGTGTTGCACTGCACGCTCAAGCACAAAATGACCTTGAATCTAATAACATGTCTACTAACCCTAAAAAGGTTTTACTTACATCGGACGTACAGTTTACAAGATCATTCCCGGACAAAAAAGTTCCAGGAAGAAGAAGAAAAATAATAATAATAATAATAATAATAATGTCAAAAACACATTAAATTAGACTATCGTTCTTTTGAGAGAATCTTTGTTCTGTCTATCGATTGATTTTGACGAAAAAATATGCAGAAGATTTATTGAACAGAATTGAGAACAGACTAGGTAATAATCCCAAGAACAGAATTTATTATGTACAGTTTAGCTTCAAAATCTATGTCCTTGTTATTGATTTGAATTTCTCTATAAACATGAAATACAGTAGATTAAATTTCATATTTGATATAATTTTTAAAAACATTTACATTTTTGTGAGTATAAAATTAATGTAATCCTTTCAAATATTTCTGTACATCATTATTTAAACAATAAAATGCTTTCTTTGTTTGTTATTACTGGAATTAACGAAGCAGCTGTTGCAGAAAAAATACATACCCCGCGTAAGCGGGTTATGTTAATTTTTTCTGCAATAGCTGCGACAAACAAAGAATGACATTTTATTGTTTATATTTATATCTGTTTAAATAATCATTTAAAGTAGGATTAAAACGATTAATTATTGTATTAATGATGTGAACGTTTTTATACGTTTCATTGATGGAACAGCCACTGATCAAGAAATCTGTACAGGCGACATGCCGATTGTAGTTCAAGCAGTGATTAACGTAATGGGTTTTCTCAAGAAATCAAGAAAATATTCAGCGGATGTAAATATTTTACACTAATCGTAAACATCAAACAATAATATGTTTACAAAAACCTGTATACATAACAATACATTCTACTTATGCAGCAATACATCTTAGCACCTGCATACGGGGTTTATATCTCTCAGTTGATTCGATACACAAGCACATGCTCTAAGAGTAAACAATTTCTGAAAAGAAGTAAGTTATTGACAAACAAGTTGATAAAAGAATAATATGAACAGCCTCGTTTAAGTAAATTTTTTTTCAGTTCTATGGTCGATATAATGACCTTGTCAGCAAATAAAATCTATCAATTATAATCAAATGCTAACGTTTTTCAAACTAATTGTTAGACCATTATATACATGTACACTAAACTGACGATAGACTGTTCGATTATTTCCCGATCATAACAAGGAGAACACTGAAGGGGGGGGGGGTGGTCGGCAGTGGATGCTCACTCCCTCATGGCACCTGATCCCACCTCTGATATCGATGTTTTAGAGGCCCTTGTGTGGTCTGCTCTTAATTTGTATTGTTTGGGTGGACTTTTGAGCTTGTATGCCGATCGTTTTCTGCATGGTATATATTTCTTTCATGAAGTGCACCTTTTCGTTTCCAAGAAAGATTATGTATCTTTTCTTATATCCATTGATTTATTGGTTTATATGATTTCCATTTTATTGAGTATATCTATATACCTCTGCATGTTGACCCGGTGCTAGGATTTTTCCACACTCTTCACATCTCAAACAATTGGGATGCCACTGTTTCCCCAGTGAGGTCTTTCTTTCAGCTAAAATGGACAACATTTATAGCAAAGGTACATTTCAAATTCATATGTATATGTGTACACATTCAATTATATACAAAAGTGTCAAGTCATCCAATATATGACACGTAAAGTTTATTGAAACTTTGAAAACTGGACATTAATAAAATGAAATTTAAGCAATGTATGTCATAATACATGTATACATAATCAGTCACATTTATGGACTTTTACGGAATGTATGCACTACAAAAATGATTGTCAATGAATTTTAAGGATTATTGTACAGCTTTATTAAGTTCACTCCATGTCGATGTTATTGGTCAGATTATCTAGCTTTCTTGTTTATATAGATACAGGTATATGGTACAGGGAACTCAAAAATTAAAATGAAATCCATTAACACTGTTCACTTAGAACATCGTATGAATGAAAATTCTGCCTAATTTAAAGATATTAGGCCAGGGAAGTATTTACATAATAAACTTTTACAAATATACTATGTTGATTTTCATAGATAAACGTGCTTTAAAAATGAGAAAAGTCACCTATTATATGCTAGGTTTAATTTGCCGACGCCCTGTGGAGTAAAATGATACAGTGGGTCAAATGTCTACCTGTATGAGATTAGAAAACACTCTCCTGTAACTCAGGTCAAGATCTCTAAACAAAAGTCGCGAATTTTATTGCCAGGAGATGTTTACAATTGCAAAGACCATGAGTTTGTTTCAAATTTTATTCTCATTTGTCTTTGTAAATAACATGTATTACTTTTTATGAGAAGAATAAAACAGTTAATACATGGTAGCGTTGAAATATGGACCGTCTTTATTACGCTACAAGAAGCATTAAGCATGCGGATTAATTAATGGACCACTCTACGTCAAGCTTTTACATTTGTCACGCTCCTAAAAACAAATGTTTTACTGATGTCCTCTGTCACAGTTGGGGCTGTACCAAGTTTTCACCGTTCCAGGACATATTGTTGCAAGTTTATTGCCCCATGTGTAGCTTCTTGTTCAAATACAAAGTAAAAATAGGCGTCCGTTTACAGAACAGAACTCTATTGATTTTCAATCAAGACTTCACGACAACCCCTTAAATATTTTATAAACCTGTTACAGGTTTTATACGTTATTTTTCTTCCTTATTTCCCAAAATTGGTTTGGGTAATATTTCAAAGATGACGCAAAAAGCTGGAGCTAAAGTGTTGCAAAACGAGCATTATTTATTAAAAAAGGGGCAAAAACCTCTAAAACTCTCTTATCTGCTTATCTTTTATATACTGCTAGAATAACCAAATACATTTCTTTTAATTTTCAAATCAGGTAAAAGGTATACATAATGCATTTCATTTGTGTTTCATACCATTTAAAGCTGTTACCACGTTTGCTCTATTGTACAGACGACTGTACTTACCAAAGTAGACAGTTTTTCCGCATTTGGGACATTTATCCATGGCAAACGTTAGCTTCAGAGATCATATATTGATTTCTGTTTCATCTTCATATTAGCATATAGTATAAAAATCCTGATATAAACAAGGAAAATCCGTTGACAATTAAACTCCTGTGATCTGTGTTAGAGGAACTGGTGGCATTGAAAAATCACAGAGCATGTCGATAAGACATCGACCATTGAAATCGAACAAAGTGGGTATTCAAATCAACTCCAGGTGTAAACATTTGAAGTATATACTCAAGTTTAAAGTCCACATTTGGAAGGATTTGAAAACCTTCTGCTGATCCTCGCAGAAAACAATGTTTTTATCCACTAGGAATGTCTCGCAATTGAACTGTTCTCTATAAGTTGTCAAGCCTGCAACCCTCGCGAACTTCACGCTCTCTTGAGCCCAAATCTCATAACATTTTTAAAGGTATTTCGAGGTCAACAAATGCTCATTTAGTTTATAACAATGTGGGGCGGGACACGTTATTGGCCCAACATCCCATGAAATGTGATACATTCTTAGGTGTCCGATGTCTGCGACATAACTAAGGCTGAACTCGTGTTAGCATGAGCAATCACGGCTGACTTAGTAATGAGGTGATATCACAGTTGTGTTTTATTCATGGGTTTCATTTTTGAATCGATATCATGATTAACACAACCTCTGGATCTTGCATTGCATCCTTTTTCATCACTACATTAGGCCTAAATGACAAAATTTATATTTCAATGACCACGTTGTATATATCCTGAATGATAGTGGGACAAAAATGACGGCTAAAATATGTTTTATTGATTAATTTTTTTAAGAAAATGCGGAAGATATGAAGATAAGTTGATATTCACCCTCCATATATCTTGTTTTATTTTAATAGTAAAACCGGAACAAGATGATTGTGACAATCAGGTTACTAATAAGGCAGTTCTCATCAGACTGTTCATAAAACAGGATAAGCCTCCTATAAATAATATACCATATGGCTGCTAAATTAATATAAAAGAATATTATATAGATAAGTCTTTTCATTTTGGTATTAAAATTGGTCAGATCCTTGATGTAGTCTAAAAAACTGTTCAGAATGTTAATCAAATCGGAAAGACTATCCCCAACCTAAGGTCGATAAAATTTAAGCCATCTGTCATTTTCCCAAATTCACGGTGTGTTTCCTTAACATTTCCGTTGTGTTTCTTTGACTACACGTGGCCTTTTTTCATTGTCAAAGTATTTTTTCTGCATTGATGTTTGATAAATAAGGTGATAACATGATATAATTTATTGCAAAATGAAGTCTAGTGCTTAATTGCAATTATATATGATTGTATTAATGACAGAGGAAATTTTATCACTGTTCATAGAGAGAATAGATTGTTAAATACCAATTATACAAACTTTTAATCTTCAACATACTTCTAAAACTAATAAATTTGAAAAAAATCCATAAGCATCACGCAATTAAAATTGACATTGAACAACCAATCTTGTGTATTGTGTTGAAAAGAAGCATCCATTAGCCCGTAATCTGGCTTAAATTACCGCTACCAGCTTCCATTTTCAGACCTTATACATGTACCACTCCAAAGTGTGTGTATTTTGGGGCTAAGAAAATATGAAGATATTCAACGTTAAAGTCCGTTTAAACAATAAAACGGGAGCAGAGAAAACATGAAACTCCAAAAATAAAACTAGAGGTACTGTGAGCAATGAGCTCACTAAATGATACCCCCGCCTCCCATATGAATATAATGGCAGTGTTCATGTTTTGCTGTGGGAAACCCAAAATATGCGTTGAATCAAAAAGTAAAATAGGAGTTGCAAAATGGGAATATATAATAAAGATTCTGTGGAAGTTTCATAAAATTTCATTCAGTGGTATGGGAGGAGTTGCGGATAAGAGATGGGTACCCCAAAGCGTAACAGACGGACGTACAGCTAGATGGAGGGACGGGCGGATATACCCTCCCGCTTTTCAAGCAGGGGTATAATAAAAGGAGGATCAGGTGCCAGGGAGGAGTTCGCTTCCTCTGTCGACTTGCCACACCCGCTACGTGCTCCTTGTCTGAAACTGGGAAACGAAAACATTAGAAATTTCGATGTGTAAAAAAAAAAGGGCTAACATTAAGTATGAAAAACGGTAGACCTAGTCACCATTTAACCTAATGATAGATTGTATTTACCTTTGCTAATAAAGTCATTGTATCGACTATAGAACTTTCGAAATGATTATTTCAACGAGGCTGTTCATATCCTTGTTTCATCAACATGTTGGATCATAGATTCCCTTGATTTTAAAAATTGCCGATCGTACGGAGAGCATGCTCTTGTGAATGCGTTTCGCATCATCTGTGAGACCTATCTGTGAAATCCTAAATACATGCAGATGATAAAGGAACATTGCTACATGTACTAGTATATATGTGAGGAAAATTGAAGATACTCATAGTAAAGTTGAAGTCATTATATTTATCAAAAGTTTGTTTTCAAGTTGCTGTTACATGTAGGTTACTGTAAAATTCTTTTCTAGTGATATATCCAAATACGATTATAAGGTCAATGTATCGACAATAGACCTTGCGAAATGATGACTTCAAAGAGTCTGTTGATATCCTTGTTTCATCGGCTTGTTGGATGACGGATTGTCTCGATTTAAAAATAGAGCACGCTCTTTGTTTCGAATAAACCAAGTTTGCAAGTGATAAGGGGGTATTGCTGAATAAGGAAGAAAATTTGATGGTAGTAAAGTGTAAGTCATAAGGAAACGGCTCCGAATTCGGATCAGTTTTTTTCTTATGAAACGGACATTTGAATCCCTTTTCAAGACTTATTTTGTTGAAAATATCATGAAATAAATGTTAGTATTATTATTATGTATTTTATATTTAAAATTTACCTTGTATTAAATGTATCTGACGTTGGCAATTTTTTATACAAATCCATAGAAAACAATGTTGGCCCGTTTTTTTTCAAAGTATAAATTTTTAAGTACGTGTATTTTTAAAAGTATTATCAATCATGTACATTTCATTATCTTACACTCCACATTTTTCTATATTCTACTTAAGATGTGAATATTTTAAGTGCATTGTTTTAAATAATTGTACTTTAATTAATCTGTAACACTTTAACAATAAAGACTAGCCTGAGCATCTCGTTTTGGGTAAACAACAGTCAAAAGAATGAAACTTAATCATTTTTCTAGCTTAACGTTACGGTATCTTTACAGTTTGTTCATACATGTACTATGCTAACTCTACAGCTCGTGTTTAAAAAGAAGGTACGTTAGGCACCAAAATCCGCCTAGTCCCAAAATCTGGCGATAATATTTAAATGATGTGTCTTGGATACCCCTGTTCTAAATCAATTTATTTTTTGAAAATATCTCAAACCGTTTTCCCTACACAACTCACTAAAAATGCAATGTTTTCTTAAGAAAATAACACTGACGACGTCATGACGTCGTAACGTTCACATGGCGTTATCAAATTTAACGTAATGATTCCTGTACAGCGTAAAGAATTGTACATTTCTCAACCTAAAAAATATATTCTCTTAAATAAATTCATATTTAAGTTTATTTTTTACTTATCTTTTTTTTTATTTAATCTGTTCTAAATTAAACCTTTCATTTTTTTTTCTTTATATGAATTGATATTTACAATAACCGTGGGTCAATTAAGGAGATAATTTTCCGAGAAAAACTATTTCATCAAGAAAGCGTATTTATTGTCAGAATTTTTTACCCTCTCCATTTCCCTAAAATTCATGATATTAATTGAAATACTACATTAAATTTTGAAATACCAGTACATGTATACGATACAATCATGCTTATCTTTTATTTACTTATTTAGGTATACATATGTACGGGAATATACATACATAATTTTATGTATGTACACTTGAAAGTGCAAGGTGTGCTATTTTACTGCGTATAAAATCTTGACTGCAACATAAAAATCAGTTTTTATATGCCAGCATTTTCCTTGATATTTTTTTCCTATTAAAGATTTATTTTTGATTTAGCTAAGACATTATCTATGCATTACTTTGTTTCGGTTTTAATACTACAGTATAGTATTTTTCAGGCACGTAGCATCGTTTTCGAAAGTGGGGGGGGGGGGGGCAACCTGAGAATTTTTTTTTTTACTTACCTGAAAAAGTTGACGAGCAAAAAAAAAAAAACAAAAACCAAAAAAAAAAAAAAAAAAAAAAAAAACGAGAAATTAAAAGTTGCTCAAAGTCGAAAATCCTATGTCGTGGGTTGGGGGTTGGGGGTTGGGGGGGGGGGGGGGGGTTGTGGCTAAATTTTTTAAAAACCAACAACCTTTTAATTCAAAGTTTTTGGGGTAAATTTTCTTTATAACACTGTACTGTGCTGAAGTGTGGAGGGTCCAACCTTACTTTGAGTGAACATTTTCTATAGTAAAGGTAATGTCGGGAGAAAAAGTGATACCACGTCCCTGCTTTTTAATAGTATATACTCATTATTGATATGAAGCTGAATAAGGTTACATATTTTTTTAAAAACAAAGAACAGACAAATATATTTATCTTACGTGTATGAAAGAGAAAATATTCCCAACGACGACAGCTATGTCATCCCCTGTCCTTTTGACAATCACATATAATCTGTATTTAGTATTTGTGGTAGTCGGGTCTGTTATTATGCTTCTAAAATAATGTACATTGCACATGTATTTATAATTATGACGTGAAGCGGTCACCCATCCAAAGGTTACACAGGCTCGCCGTTGCTGAAAACCTACATGTAGCAAGGCAGTATAAGTTGCATATACAGTGTACTTCCCCCCCCCCCCCCCCCCCCGGCTTAGGGAAGCTTCGAACCTAAGCTTAGCACGAGTTCTCCCTAAGTGTCTGGACCTATTCAGTACCGGCAAATAATGTCGTCCACGAATACAAAGTCTGTACCTGGACACAAAGTCCTAACCTTAGAGCTTCTTGATGCTAGCTCTAAGACTTCCTGAAACAAAGTCGTAAAACAACACGCTTCCATCAATTTTGTCATGTTTGTGAATGAAGCCCGTTATGCTTAAATTATCCCATGTTTCCCACTATTGTTGATGTCCCTGACATACCCTCCTAACTAGACAGTGATTCCTTATATTTCCATTTCATTGTGAAATAAAATTGTAGATTTAGACTTTAAAAATGCAGACATGGATTTAAATTACACGATGATTCCCATCCCAATTTCAAAAGCCCTCGCCCACTGACATCAAACACAAAGGCAGCCACACAAGATTTTCATGCATATTTGGCGGGTGTTGATAAAACGCGGAACGGAAAACGGAAATGAAAGCGGAACGGAACGGAAAACGGAAAGTTTTAGTCAAACAAATAAAATAGATTCGATATAAATCAGATAAAAAAAATTAATTTCTTGTTGTAAAAGTCATTTCTAATAAAAATTTATCGTAAACTATTATATATTCTTGAGTCATGCATACCCTCCGTGGAAAAAATGGTACCGAAGGAAATTCGACCCCCCCCCCCCCCACACACACACACGAAATAGGATTTTCGTGTTCGGGCGAAGGACATATGCCCTTTTTTTGCTTGTCAAATTTGTTGTATGTTGGAAATTATTTACTGCCCCCCCCCTCTTTCAATTTTTTTTCCAATGTATTGAATATTGTTTAACGTCCCTCTCGAGAAATTTTCACTCATATGGAGACGTCACCGTATGCCGGTGAATTTTTTTCCCAATGTATTGAATATTGTTTAACGTCCCTCTCGAGAAATTTTCACTCATATGGAGACGTCACTGTATGCCGATGAATGGCTTCAAATTAAGACGTATACTCGGCACTCAGTGCCATTGAGCAGTGAGGGTTCTTTATCGTTCCAGCGCCTACCGTGACACGGGACCTATGTTTTCAAGGTCATATCCGAAGGACCCGTTACTTTCACTTCTAGTGCCGAGCGCTTGGCGAAGGAACAGTCACTACCTTTGTTTACGTCTTAGGTATGACGCGGCGCCGCGAACGAGAATCGAACCCGGGCCTCCCGATCACGACGCTCTACCACTCGGCTACCGTGACCGGTTTTTCCCAATGTCAATGTCTGTAAAGACAAAAATAACTACATGTAGTTATGATATTCAGATTATGCACGCAGTTCGAATTCGCGAATCATGAAAGGGGGAGTGGCAGTTTCGGGTCTGTGTAGGGGCCCACTGCCACATTAAAAATTGATTTATTAAACCTTATTTTGGACACAAAAAAGGGGAAAGACCTATTGCAACTTTTCAATCCTTTCCGATGAGGGGAAAACAAACTCATTTTTTACGGGGTTATTCATATACACCCCCCCCCTTAAACATGCACGCATATGTACCACAAACAATCAAAATTTAACTTCACTGAATGCAAGATTCTGCATTATATCTACCACATGAAAGTTTTCCAACTTGTCTATCAAGAATTTAATATATAGAAAGCGACTCTATTTTGAATAAAACCTTAACAACCAGTGTGTATAAGAGATGTTTATTTGAGCTTGCCGTAAAGGTTTGCCCTTTACGTAATCTTACTATTTATTTTTTTTTACATTTTATTTCTCTTTCTATGGTTCATCTAAATATCAAATATTTGCCCCCCCCCCCAGTCATAACCTTTTTACTACGGCATTGTTCGTTCAAGTTGACATCCGTACACTTTTTGTGAATGTAATTAATGTAATAAGTTAGTAGTTAGTGTAATAAATAGTATTGAAAGATATTGGAGTTGGAACTTATTCCCCCTCCCGAATCAAACAATTGTTTTCCTTTTGTGTTTTTGCTTGATCAATACTTTTCAAGTCCCCCCCCCCCCCTTCAAATTCGATTCTAGGTGAATGCTATGTTAGCGACTTTTGTAAACAAGAGACTGAGCATGACAAAATCAACTTTATTCAATAGTGGGGGATTGATTGTGTAAAAATGTACAAGATATATCGTTTATGATAAAATTTGTGTATTTTAAGTGATTTAATCCAAAATAATATATTCCGTTTTCCGTTCCGTTCCGCTTTCCGTTCCGTTTTCCGTTCCGCGTTTTAGCAACACCCCATATTTGGCATCCTTAGCGTCAGGCTCCGAGACAGATGTGCACAAGATTTGCATGCATATTAGGCCTCCTTAGCTCCTGACATATTGACCTACCATTTAAATTCCGGTAGAATTATCAAGAAATTAACTCCGCTAGCTCTCAAAGAGTTATCACAGAGAGAAAAGTTAGAAATGGAAATATTTACTTTTAAACCACTGTATGACTGAATGAGTTTTTCGAAGATGTTTACAGACCATTTCATTAAATTCCCAGTAAATTTGACAAGCATTGAAAAATCAAAACTACGTTCAGTGTTTTTGACGGGTGTAGATACCCCCAGTCAATGTCAGAATATACTTCATTACTTGTCCAAATGTTCTTGTAAATATTTATAGAAGACACCACCCTTCACGCGACAAACAAAATAAAAAGGAGCTAGTGAAGGTTTGATTTTAATCGGACTGCCTTTTATGCATTTACTTATAATGTCGTCAATTGAAATTCAATTGTATTTGCTTATTTACCGCTGTCTGTTTTCAAGTCGACGAAAGAAAATTCGGAATCCGATTTCACACAACTTTTTTGAACAATGACACTAAAATGCAATTGCTGAAGTAAAATAAGGAAAGCAAGTCGTAATAAGACAAAATGCAAGTGCAAGCCAGAAAATGAATACTTATTCATCTGTTTATTCGCACGCACTTATATATATTATCTATTTATAACTCATTTATATAACCCCTTACAACTTTGTTGCAATTTATGGAGGAACTGACAATGCGGAGTCAGTTCAAGTATTGTTTTTAGAAGGAAAAACAAGGTACATACATACAAATTGTCACGGGAAGGGACAGGAGAGGGGGGGGGTTAAGATTTTTTTTTGCAAGAACATGTTTATGAATCAGTAAAAACTAGGTTTCTGAATGTTACGTGTGGAATTATTTGAAATTATTACACAGGTAAATTGTATAAAAAGAATAAAATTAAAAATAAAACAAACCCGGTTCTCTCAAACGAAGGGGCGTGCCCCCCCCCCCCCCCCCAATTTTATAATTAAATTACATTCTATACTTATAAACAGTGTAATGAACTTGTAACATGTATTATGCAATATGCACCACTAAATATACATAAAGGCAGTGGATTTTATTCATTTTACATAATACACTGAAAACAATAAAGCCCACTTATATGATCTTAATACCATCGGGTGTACGAGATATTGATATTTACAGCAACAATGACTAGTTTTGTTGGACAGCTTACCTTGAAAATAATAATCTATCATATTTTCTTTTTCTGGATTTCAGAACGTATTTCAGAAGGAACATGCAATAATTTATTTGTTAGAAATTTTACAAACATTTTTATTCTTATTTTAAATAAGTAGGCCTAGATCGATTGAATTTACTTGAACAAAAAAAAAAAAAAACAATTTACCTTTCTCGTCCACATAATCTCAGGATCTCTTCACAATTATAAATTGTCATATATCTTTCAAATTACCTTTTCTAAGGAATTATGAAGTTCTAAAAAATATTATCAACAGCAAGTCAGCAACTTAAAAAAAGTTGAAAAAAAGTATTTTTTACACGATCTATTGTGACGTCATCAATGAATCTATTGCGTAATATTCATAAACATTTCAAGGCGAGAATCAAACAATTATATCAGTTGCAAAACAAACATAAAAAGTGCTAAAAATCTTGATTATTTAGATATTTTCTTATTTGTGTACTATTACAATCTTTCTCTGTTACATTTTTTTTTTGGGGGGGGGGTGTCAGATGAACACTTTAACTTCAATCTTTAAGCATGCTGATCTAACGTTATCCCTATCGATAGTTTTCACCTGAAGGGTGGATAAAATATATTGTCTACCTAATTTATTGTTCAGTCTATGTTCTTAATGATAATGATTAGACTTATTTACTTTTTTTGTAACTTTCTAAAAAAAAAAAATTAACAGCAATTACGGTGCCTTTATTGAAAAATGATTTCACATTAGATTTCTCAACTTGAAATCCGGAATAACAAAGAAGGCATATAAACTCAATTTCAACATTGGCCGCAGCAAACGCGATTCACAAGATGTTGTTAAATCGAAACATTTTTGCGTTATAAAAAATATATGTAAGTTTCATGAATCGCGTTCATTGCGGCCAAAGTGAATTTTGCGATCAAAGATATAAAAACTGCCATTTTTAGAGAATATATTGAAACATGGTATGGTTTTGAGATTTACGTAGCGTTTGTGTGACGTTTTGGCGCCATTTTACATCCGTGATCAGATATTTTTTATGTATTCAACGTACTTGTAAATAATGATTAGGATGTTTAAATATCTGTCAACTCCTCCAGTTTTGAAATTTGAACAAATGAAGTATAGGATGAATTCATTTTGAAAGATGAATTGATCCATAGAATAGAGAGAAAAACCCTCTTCTATACTTAATACTCATCCCATTTCATGCTCACATAGATGTCGTTAAAATCAATGCAACATGTACCTTGAATTCGGTTTGCTCAAACTTTACAAAAAAGAACTGTATTTGTACATCCAATCATCTTTTAATTACCGACAATGTAATTGCTTTCACTTTAGACGCTTCTCTTAATTCTTTATATTGCTTTTGACATTCAAACAAAAGGTTTTTTAAATATAAAATTTAAGGAAGCGCCAGTACAAATGGATTGAGCAGAGAGACCACTCGCATCATTGCTTCTTTTCAAATTGTATTTTGATTTTAAATTTGTAATAGATCACTCGATTTCAGTCATTTGAAAAAAAATATTGAAAGGCCTTTTGTTTGGTTTGAATAGTAGGCCAAAAATGCCAGATACCAAAGACTTGAATTTCGAAGAGTTTTTTGTTGTTATTTATGATCTTTTTAGGGACTCCTAAAGGGTGATATTATTAAATTATATTTTTTAAGTTATATTTCTCTATTGTTTAAAAAGATAAAATGAAAACATTGTCAAAAAAAATCGTACATTGTATTTTTTAATTGTATGTTTTTAAATAGAAAATCTCTGTAAGGATTAATTTGATTAACCCCATTAAAATATTGAACCCAATGATATCCACTGACGTAGGTAAATTTTGCTTGTCAACGAAATCTTGATGTGGTGGAGATATACATTGAAAGATCTCTGTAATATTTTTTGCATTTCATGGATAATTCTATTAAATATTCTAAGGAATAATTAATGACTAACTTTGAGTTTTATAAGGAAATTAAAACACAAAAATTATAGTAGTGTGAATAGATGTCTAAAGTGGTCATGAAGCCAAAGAAAGGGGTTAAAAGTGAACCTGGAGAAAAGAAAAAACAAGAAAGTAAAAACAAGAAATCCTATGAGGAGGAAGCGGAGGAAATGAGAAGAAAAACCGATGAACTGTTAGAAAAAGAAAGAAACGGATTCTTGGAACAAATTGCAGAATTAATCAAAGAGCTGGAACGACTTAGAAAAGAGAATGAAAAACTTCGAAAGCAACAGGAAGAAAAAATGGGAGTGACGGCGGAGGTTGTTGACAAAATGAAGCGAGATTTAGAACATTCCAAAACGACAAATAGTTTTTTATTGAGGGATGTGGAAGACCGGAAGTCTCAAATAGCCCGGATGGAGTCACAATTATTTGAAATGACAATGAAAGTCGAGGGAATGAGCAAAAAAGTTTCAGAAGTCAGTAAGTCAAATACTGAATACAAGCATGAAATAGAAGAACTAGTCAAGGAGAAATCACGTGCCGAGAGACTCTGGGACGAGAACAGGAAATTGCGGAGATTTTTAGCCGCTAACCATATTGATTCACGAACCGGTAAACCGTTATTGGAAATGTACAGGGACAAGAAACTTTCGCAGAACAAGAAGGTAGTGCGTATAAAAGAAACCATAAAGTCTAGAAGCATGCAATTAGCAAACAGACGTTTGTTGAGACCAAGTAAAAGTCTAGATGATCTACGAAAATTAGAGGAATATTATGAAACGAAATCAACAAAAAGTGAGAAATCTAGTGATTCAGAACCAGCACCCTACATAGGACATTATATGGACATTATGAAGAAAAGAAAAACCCTTCAACAGAAAAAGCTCTAACAGCAAAGCATTTATTGTACTTAACCTTTATTTATCGTGTGCAAATAACCTTACAACTGTGAAGAATTCGCAAGCTACTAAATTGTTTTTATGATGACATTTTTTCGGTGGAAGATCGAACATTTTGTGAAAATGGATACAGTTATATATTATTACTCTACTTGGTTGATTCTTTTCAAATGCCTATATATTGTATACGCTACATTTGAATACTAAACGGAAATGGTACGTCCTTTTAGTATTTACTTAGTATTCGAAAAAGGGAGATTAGAGATATTTCCTTTAATACTAAAGGTATCTTTTATTTTAAAGAGATATCATTTTTTATAAAAAATCAGAAAATTCTCTTTTACTTAGAAATATACCCACTTTCGCTAAGAGTGATATGCCTTTCTCTACAAGTATCTCTTTTGCAAAAAGAGATATCTTTTAACATTAAAGAGCATGCTCTAGGTATGAACAATTTCTAAAACGAGGTAAATTATTGACAAACAAGTTGAAGAAACAAGTATATCAGCAGTCTCGTTTAAAATCATCATTTCGTAAGTTCTATGGTCGATACAATGACCTTGTCAGCACATATAATTTTTCATCGAGTGAAATGCTGACTGACGTTTTTCATACTAATTGTAAGTCCATTATTTATACACTGAATTGACGCCAGATTTTTCCGTTATTTCCCGATCATGACAAGGAGCACACGGCGGATGTGACAGGTCGGTAGGGGATGCTCACTCCTCCATGGCCCCTTATCCCACTTCTGATGTTTTGGAGGTTTGTCTTTGCTCTGCCAATATTTTGTATTGTTTTATTTACTATTGTTCTTCAATACTGTTCGTTATCTCCATATGTTTCACCTTTTAATTTTGAAAGAAATCTATTTTGTAAAAGAGATACCGGGGGGTACCTTGAGTGAAGAGGTATCTCTCTTAGTCGCAGATACATCTCACAAACCTTAGCTTAAGAGGTATCTTTTGAAGTAAAAGCGACCTCAATGATAAAGATATATCTATCTAAGTTTTAAAAAAATCATCTCTCCATTTAAACATCTAAGGAAGAAATTCTTCAAAATCATATGTCAGTTTTGAATATTTTTAATATCCCAAACAACCAAAATGAATTTGTTTATATTGGATTCCGAAACTTCATAAAAATCCAAACAAAGATACATAGCGGGTTCTAGTAAATATTCAACCAAGCTTCTTTCTTTACTCCACACTAAGATATTAACATTAATGGAGGAGAAACTTCAAGAGTACTGTACAACAATATATTTGAGAGGTAGTGTAAATCAGATGTGGATACTAAAAAAAATTAAAAGAACCTTTTGGACAATTTGAAATCACAAGATTTTAACAAAATCAACAGCTTAAAAACTTAAGACTTTTTAACTTTATACACAACCACTCCCCACGATACATTAATGTCCAGGCTTTTTGATATCATTGACAGCTGCTTTTTCAGCATAAAAATGGAACTCGTAAATTTACTTATCTTGTCATTGGTCATTTGCAAAAAATATTTCGTTAAAAACATTCTGATTGTACACAGAAGTACCATGAAATTGACATCAAAAAGATGCTTGAGTTTCTGATTGACAATATCTAAGTATTTGGTTTTTGGAAACCAGGTTTTCCAACGGGAAAATCCCATGGGTACCAATTGCGCCCCGTTAAGCAGCAGACCTATTTTTGTATTCACATGAAGCAGAATTTTTTTTTCAAAATCTTATACGTGAAAAGAAGAAAACACTTGCTGTGTCCTTCAACTCGAAATTTAGATATATAGACGACGTATTGTCAATTAACAATTGCATTTCCATTCTTATGTCGATACGATATATACCGATGAGCTTGAGATAAAAGACACCACAGAGTTTGTCACATCTGTTTCATATTTGGATATTTTACTTGAAAAAGACGTTAATGGTTAATCTAACAACCAAGCTCTATGAAAAACGTGATTACTTTAACTTTTCAATCGTCAACTTCCCTTACTTATTCAGCAATATACCTTCATTACCTACATACGGAGTTCAAATCTCTCAGTTGATTCGATACGCAAGAGCGTGCTCTACAATTTCTAAAACGATGTAAATTATTGACAACAAGTAGATGGAACAAGAATATCAGCAGTCTCGTTTAAAATCATAATTTCGTAAGTTCTATGGTTGATGCAATGGCCTTGTCAACACATACAATTTTTCATCGAGTGAAATGCTGACTGACGTTTTTCATACTAATTGTTAGTCCATTATTTAAACACTGAATTGACGCCGGATTTTACCGTTATTTCCCGATCATGACAAGGAGCATACGGCGGGCTTGACAGGTCGGCAAGGAATGCTCACTCCTCCATGGCACCTTATCCAACCTCTGATGTTTTGGAGGCCCGTGTTTGATGTCCTCCTATCTGTATTGTTCTTTGGACTTATGAGATTGAATACTGTTTATTATCTCCATATATTTCATGTATATTGAAGTGTGTTTACATGCATAAGGGGCCATGAATAAGTGAAAAAGGCGAAAATAACGATCAGATATCGATATAAAACAATTTACAAACATTAAAAACCTGAACACGACAAACAATTCGGAAAGGAAATTTCAGAAATGGAGTCAGGTGCCTCCCCCTTTCAAAAGATCGTGGTGAGACCTGTAAATTGATCAAACAGACGGACTATTCTGTAGTCAGATTCATACACCTGTAAAATATAGTATGAAACAATAAACATATCAATAAATCGGATAAACGATCAGCATCTGCTTAATGATACGCTTCAAATAAAACAAGTTAATTAAGCTAGTTTACGTGAGATTTACCTCACCAGTCTTCAAATGCAGATTAATGAAATCAATGACACATAATTATTTACCAATAAATAGGATGAAACTTTTTAATTTCTTTTTCTTCAGCAGTACTATTAATAGTTGCATTGAGCTTTGTGGAAGGTATATAACTGTTCATCCTTTGCAATTTGAAGTATTACTCGTATTTTGATTATTACTTTAAAAAAATCCATGTACAAATTAAACAATTTTCAAAATTAAAATCGACTCAACTTATTTTTTTTATTTTGTGCAAAGTTAAGAAGGTAACCCAAACAAACAAGTATACTTGATAATGGAAAACGCAGATTTCATATTTACATGCAGTGTAGAATGTTCAATTAAATTTTTAAGAATATTATGCTGTTCAATTTTTAACCATTACATTATTGACGGAGCTTTTTTATCAATGCAAACAAAAAATGTTATAATTTAGACATTGAGAAAATATGTCGTATACGGATAAGAATGCCGGGTCTCTTCTATTTTATTTTCAACATAGAATACAAAACATTTATTCCCTAAGGAAAATGTTCAAAGACAACACGGCTTTGATGAACAGGGATCTGTTTAAATGAGGAAAATTTCTTTTAAAAATTTCTTTGATCAAAGCATACAAAGTAGATAGACATTTGTTCCATCTACATATATTGGCTGACAAAGATGAGTGAGATGGCTATTGAAATTAGAAAGATTAAGCAAGAGACAAACTAGAGAAAGAGTTAACGATCTTGTCCTACATAAAGCTGGCATAGCTATGGCAAGCCAGTAAGAGTATTGTGTCCTTTCTGACATATTTTATCTCATCAAATAAAATCTGCAACATGACTATGCAGATTATATTTGATAAAATAAAATATGTCAGAAAGGACACATGTAACATAAGTTAATTTCGACAGTCTTTTATATTATGAGTCAGCAAACTCACTGCTTATGATACATTCTCTTCTCTTGGTTTTAAAAGGTTTGGATCTGAGAAAACATCACGGTTTGGGGGTATCTCGTATGTTCCATATGTTTGTAGTTTATACAAATGTGATCGATATCTGAGAAAACCTTGAGACCATAGAATCGGTGGTTAAAAGGACATCTTCTCTGCTATTTAGTATAAAAGATATATTTACCGATTAAGTTGCCTATGTTTGGGCCACAAGTAGTATACTAGCTAGTTCTTATCTTTACAGTATGTGGGACAAGAGAGGCAAAACTAAATTTCGAAAGATAAATCTTCAAGTGTATTCTATTTTAAATATCATTCACTTTTTAAGTTATTTATTAATAGACTTAAAAACATTTATATAGTTGGTGCACATTGGTAAGCCCCTGGTCCGGGCATGTAAAGTTTTCGTTTGACGGACATAGTGCTGGAAGCGGGGACGAACTGACAGGTTAGGCCTTGTCCACAGCTGCAGTGACCATTCAGCTTGTCAAAGGGACTACAGTTGTCACCGAGTACCTGGTACTTCTCACATACTCCTAGAAGTAAAATTTTACATTGAAGAGCTAGAATTATGTCATAACTTACACGTGTGTTGGTTACATGCAGGTTACTGTTGTTGATAGAAAAATAGCAAATAAATTTTATGTTTGTTAATTGTTATTCCATGTAAATTACAATGCCTATGACAGTAGTGGAATCCACAAATTAGATGAAACATACTTTTCTAAGTTTGATATTAAGAACTTACTTTAATATTTACGAAGAATAAATGTTACTTTTAAAATCACGTTTCAGTTTCTTGAAAAATTGCTTGGCACAATTTATTATAGTCTTTCCATTCTTTTTATTTCTTTATTCAGCACAATTTGATGAAGAGTTCTCCAGTGTGAATTTCCATTCCATTTATTTCCACAGTGCTAAATGTCTTCAAAGTGATAATTAATGAAAACTCTTTACTTTAATAAATAATTTTTATCCAGTATTACGAGCATTTTGATTTGGATACCTTGATGCGTTCCAAGTAAGTCTAGAGCTTGTCTTTTGCTCACAATCATTGGGCCCTCATGGCGGAAACAACACTCATCTGACATACATTCAGCATCGGTATAGCACCGTGTAGCAAACTATGGAAATAGGTAAACAAATGACAAAAAATATCATATACTACCACATCAACTTGTCCTTGACAAATGAGAAAAAATATCATATACTCTAACATCAACTTGTCCTTGACAAATGAGAAAATATATCATATACTCTAACATCAACTTGTCCTTGACAAATGAGAAAAATATCACATACTCCAACATCAACTTGTCCTTGACAAATGAGGAAAAATATTATATACTCTAACATCAACTTATCCTTGACAAATGAGAAAAAATATCACATACTCCAACATCAACTTGTTCTTGACAAATGAGAAAAATATCACATACTCCAACATCAACTTGTCCTTAACAAATGAGAAAAATATCATATACTCCAACATCAACTTGTCCTTGACAAATGAGAAAATATATCATACCGGTATATTCTAACATCAACTTGTCCTTGAAAAATGAGAAAAATATCACATACTCCAACATCAACTTGTCCTTGACAAATGAGAAAAAATATTATATACTCCAACATCAACTTGTCCTTGAAAAATGAGAATAAATATCATATACTCTAACATCAACTTGTCCTTGACAAATAAGAAAAATATCACATACTCCAACATCAACTTGTCCTTGACAAATGAGAAAAATATCATATACTCTAACATCAACTTGTCCTTGACAAATGAGAAAAAATATCATATTCTCTTTTTAAAGCACTTAGTTTTGCAGATAATAGAAGATCACAAAAAGTTAGATGTTCGATCGTTTAAAGCGAAAGAAAATAATAGCAGGCTTTTGGTTCATAATGAGTTAAAACATGATAGGAATAATAAGACACATTCCAGAATGACCAGTGAATAAAAGTTTAAATAATTTAAAATCTTAAACTTCAATTACACAACAATCATTATACTTACCGATGTTGAGACAGTAATTAAATAGAATAATAAAATTTGTAAATATAATTTTTCCATTTTTCTTTCTGCGTTTTACAATGTATTGAACTTAACTGATAAGGCGGTATCTGAACTTGTGTCGTCAGTGACTCAAGGACCAAGGTATTGTGTATATAGGATATAAACTGCATGGAACCAATTTGTGTAGTTATCAAAGGACATTAGGTGCTTAAGTTGTAGGACCGTTGTGGTACAATGAAAGGACAATAAGTGTCCTGTGAAACAATGAATTTGTAAAATAAGTAAAAATCTAACATCAAGAACTTATTCTTAAATTCTATACATGTATCAATATGAAAGACCTTTTTTTTGTTTTTTACAATAAATAATATTTTACAATAAATAATAGGATTCTTCATTCAAAATGGAACTTGGAAGTTTTTGTATTCAACCACATAATTTTGTTTTTTTTTTTAATTGATTCTACACAAAATACTCTGACGTTGATGTAATTTCTAATTGAAGACATTCATTTCATCTTCGGAGACCTTGGGCCCGTTTTACAAAAGAACTTACTACTAAGACTAAAAAACTTTAGTATATTGTAAAATTTTGCAAAATTAATTATTTTGTTTTGAATCGCTAGCATATAAGTATCTTTCTATATACCTTTTAAAAAGAGTAAATCCATTTTCTATTTAATAGAAATAAGAAAGATATAATCAGAAATAAATTTTGGTCTTAGTCACAAGTTTTTGTAAAACGGGCCCCTGGTCTTTAACATATTGTGAATTCCGATGTATACTTCTATATAAGCTGAAAGCAGAAATTCAGATATTGTAATTGGTCATCAGAAAAATCACTTCGTTTAAAACCACCCTAATTGTAGACAAATTTCTGAAGTTCATATCAAAACAGACTGTTGTAATTCCCATGGTCACTAATTGTGCTCCTTTTATTTACTGACTTTCTGACTTTCTTATATTCTTGTGAAGCAGAGTTATTAAAAACCAATTCATGTGAAGAGAAAACACTTGTTGTCTCCTCCAACTCGATATTCAGATATATCGGGGATGTTTTATCAATAAACAATATCATTTTTCATTTGTAAGTGGACTTGACATATCCAAGTGAACTTAACTGAATAAAAGACACCACAGAGTCAAGCAAATCTGTTTCATATTTGGATGTTTATTGACAATAGACGATACAAGGCCAATTAACAACTTAATTTTATTACAAACGAGATGACTTTGGCTTTTCCATCGTCAACTTTCCTTATTTATAAATTTCAACTGCTAATGGTGTTTATGTCTCCAAAAAAATTTTTATATAGTATTTGAACAGTAATTTAAGGACATGCATTAGTTTTTCTATACAGTACATTTTATTTTGTGGGCACACATCTATATAAATCTGGAGATGCTGCAAGTGTTCGAGCCGCCCTCATCCACTGTAAGGGTGATGACGTAGTCGTTGTCGAAGGGAGTTTGTAATCACATCGCAATCCTGGGGCACAACTACAGTGATAATTCCATTGGTCAAATACATTGCAGTGTTGCCCTTCCAAAAGGTATTTTTTACAAACTCCTAGAAAATAAACAAAAGCCTTAAATAAATTTTTATGTCAACAGAAAAAATTATTTTTATAGCGTCTAAAGGAATCTTCATCTTTTCCTCCAAAAAAAAGTCATGACATTTACAAGATTTTTAATAAATATCCATTAAATAAGTTAAAAATAATAAAATAATCGTTTCGAATACCTAGCGATGTAGAGAACAAATTGTCCAGATTCTGTCGTTTACTGGCAATAAGAGGCCCTGTTTGACGAAAACAACATTCTCCAACACCGCACTGAGCTTCTGTGAAGCACTTGCCTGCTGGCTACATGTGTTAATGTAAAAAATAACCTGTATTCTTAATGACTGAATTAGCCTTTAATAAAGTGTTCAATGGTTTGAACATTTCACTTAAATAATTCAAGATGTCTGTTGTAAATCAAATTTCAAACATCAGTTCTCAATTGAAATTTAATTTTGAATAATATACATTATGATTTTGAACTGAGGTTAAGTGTTACATATTGTATGTTGTCGTATAGATCTGAGGAAAAAAAAGTTTTTTTAGGCATCTTAACATTCGCATAAATAGATAATCTTATTTCCAAATCTAATTTACCAACGTCTAACATACTAGGATTCTTGTTTTTTTTTATTTTGAGCCAATTGGTTGATACTGGAGACTAAGACTGATGTTAATAATGATATGATAGAACAAATACCGGGAGCACACTCCCCCAAGATTTATATATGGTGAATATCCTACCGTTGTAGATGCAATGGCACCCGTTAAAAACAATGCAAACAATATGACCCTCATTTCACCTTTGTTAGTAGAGTGAATAAGTCAATACCTGTAAAACTGAATTTAAATACTGTTAGATGATAAGAATACAAGGAAGTGAGTACTATTATCAGTCCTTTCTCACGCACTCCTTACTGCTTAGGTAATACATCATGGACATAACCTTTCATTCTTATGGACGGATGATACAAACTTTTATTAAAAGGAAAATGAAAATAACAGCTTGAGTCGTGTTTTAATGAGTAAAACGAACAAGTTTTAATTCAAATTTTCCTAATAATGGGATTTGCAGTGGAAAATATATGTATAGATTAACAAGGATAATTGCAGAAAGGAAAAATTTTGAACATCATAGAACGTTTACAATTTCTTAATATTTTAGAAATTTATTATTTGCACCATTTACAACAAAAATAGGTCCAGAAATATCTATTAATCCGGGCATCCATATTTTTGTATCATTTGTCCAGAATTTAAAATTAAGATACTCTAAGTTGTTCTTAGACCAAAAAAAATCAGAATTTTTGGGGGTTTGAAAAAAATAATGTGCTGCAAATTTAGTGTTTTTAATGCAAAAATACTGTATATAAATGCCCAAGCATACATGTACATGTACTTTTAACCGATATTTCTTCATTTAAATGGGGGTGGATGGTAGATCGTTGTCTTTGAAGATTATTTTCTGGTTAAAAGTGACATGTGCCCCATGTTAAAAATGAAATAGATAATTTTAAAATGTATTCTTTGTCGCTATCTATAATTTTCTCTAAATGAAAAAAAAAAGTTTTCCTCTGTGCTTATAGATGGTACTCAAATAATAAAACATCTTCGAAAAAATCATTCCTTAGTATTCAGTCAAAATACTATTGATAACATTGATAACATTGAGGTAAGAAAAAAAAATCAATAGAATTGTGATTTTTTTTAAATATTGTAATATGAATCAGTAAATATATATTTTATTCTAACAAACTTGAGTCAAAGGCTGCTTTTCTAATAAAACATTAATCAGTGTTTGCCTGTCGTATGTCATGTATCGCCCGTAAACTTGTAATATTTTCGACTTCTTCTTAGGAACCACTGTACTAATTTCAATCAAACTTGCCAAAAAGCATTTTGGGGCGAATGGGAATTAGATTTATTCAAGTAAAGGACCTCTTTCTCTTTCAGGAGAAATAATTAACGTGACATTTTTTTTTACCCTTTTCATTTCAAAATTTCTTTTAATAACCACAAGACCAGACGAGAATTTAGAGAAAGCTCCATTACGTAGTGTGCATTTGATTTTATTCAAATCTCAATTCCCGGGGTCAGGGTGGGGCTACACTTCTGAAAACTGAATACGCTCTGAACTAACCCTTTTTAGTTAAAATTGATCAATTTACAATATTGTTCTTTGCAAGCACTTAATTATTAGCAATACATCTTTGTATATATAAATTTAAGGCATCCTCGATTTCTCAAAAATTTCGCTTAAGTGTTAAGGCTTTTAATGCTTCTTGACTTTATTTATTTTTGAATTCTTTGACTTATGATTCACACTGACGGTGCACATTGATACGCGCCAGGACCAGGCATGTAAAAGCCCCGTTTGACAGTTTGGGTCGTAGAAGCGGAGACGAACCGACAAGTCAGGCCATGTCCACAGCTACAATGGCCATTCAGTTTCTCAAAGGGACTGCAGCCTTCACCAAGTTCCTTATATTTCTCACAAACACCTGAAAGTCATATTTTACATTTTAGTAGACCTCAAAGGAACTTTGTTTAAGTTCGCACACATTTGAACCTAGCTTAAGTTTACAGTAATTTTTTTTAATTTATTTTAGTTACATTATATTTTTATACAAGTATATACATGTAATATGAATGAAACATTTTTCATTACTTTATAAATGAAATCAACATTTTTAACCTTCATGTGTTCCCAGTAACCCTAGAGCCTGTCGTCTGCTAACAATCATAGGGCCTTCATGACGAAAACAGCACTCGACATTTGGCATACATTCAGCGTCAGTGAAACATGTTGTCGCAAGCTAAAAAAAAATACGAATAAATTGAATCAAGAAAACAAATCATAATATGATTAATTGCTTTTGATTACAATTGTAATGTTTTGGAATTACATATAGGAACGTAAGAAAAAAAGAACATTCGATGAAAAAGGAGATAACAAACATTATTCAAGCTCAAAAGTAAATTCAAACATCACAAATCGGAAGAAGGGCAAACTCGGATCTCAAAAACATTAGAGATGGGATCTTGTACCATGAAGTAGTGAGTTTCCCCTGCCTACCGGTCACACCTGCCGTGTGCTCCTTGTCATAATCCAGAATAATCCCGACAATTAGTATAAAAAACTTAAATTAGCTTTCGACTCAATGATAGGTTATATTTTTTGACAAGGTCATTATATTTAGACTGTTGATATCCTTCTTTCTTTAACTTGTTTGTCAAAAGCTTGTTCAGCTTGCTCTTGCGTATCGAATCTACTGAAACATATAAAACCCATATGCACACGATAAGGGTATATTGCTACATAGCTTAAGAAAGCTGACTATTGAAAAGTTGAAGTTTTCACTTTTATCATGAAAGCAGTGTTGCAAAGTTACCATTTCCTAGTAAAATACAACTTCTCAATTCTAGTAAAATATTCCAACATGAAACAAATTTGTGATTTATTAGTCTCTATGGTATCTTTTATTTCAAGCTCACCTGGATATATCAATTCGACACATCAATGGAATTAAAAATTGTGAATTAATAATACGTCATATATACATGTAAACTGTGGAGTTGAAGGCCACAACAAGTGTTTTTTTTTTAGTTCTCATGAAGAAGTTGCTAAATATACCAAGGTATTCTACTTCATATGAATACAAAAAAGGTTGTTTGAACCCTTTGGTATCCATGGGAATTCTAAACAGATTTATGAATATTTTAATGTGAACTAACGATTTGAATATTTACTTTATAGAATACATCATAAAGATAATTAAATTGAACTGGAATGTGTTTTAGACAATGTAAACAACATCTTAAAATTGATCATATATTTTAATTTTGATTTGACAAAAGAGCTAACTTGAAGCATAATTTTAAAATCAAAATTTTTTTGTTCATAACTTAATATAAACAATACTTACCGATGTTGTAACCGTTAAAACAATTAGTACCAGCACATGTAAAAATAATCTAACCATTTTAGTTTCTGCGTTTTACCTTTAACTTGTAATTGGCTGATAAGAGTTTTAACCTTATTTTGGTTCTCACGAAGTTGATAAAATACTATTTTACGAAACTGCATTGCACTTATACAATCTTACTTATACTCAAAAAAGTATCAAACAGACAAAAAACAGACAACCTAATATAATTTTTGCTTTAAATGAAACTTTCAAAAAAGTAAATGTAAGATTGCTTAAGGATGTTGAATTCTATTCAGAAACATTTTCATTCAGCATATTTCAGAATCTATTTTTTATAACTAAATCAAAAACCAGTATGCCAATGAAAGTATTTACATTTTCTTGGTACTATGATGAATTAATTTGACCTTACTTAACTGAAAATGTCACCTATATTTTTTTCTTAGTATTACTTCCTTTCTAGAGCTCATATTGAGGACCATCACTTGCCGATACAGAACTGCAAATTCAGACGTGTATTTAGAATAAATATCTTCCCAGTAAGAGTCAAATTCATACAACAGTCCTCTATTGCACTAGTCGCTGTTCTTTTTTAAAAAGGAGTTAGTAAATCCTCAATATTGATTGATCGAGATCTGGGGCGATTTCTCACGTATACAGGCTTCAGAAAAAGTGTGAATTCCAAAATATGCGACAAAACCTTGCAGATGATAGAACGCTGGAGAAGGCATCAATGACACCAATCACAATAATGCCCTGGACTCACTCTGTGCTGTCAATTCTAACAAAAAATACTACAGTTTACTATAGTTTACTATAGTTAACTATAGTTAACTATAGTTAACTATAATAAATCTAAGTGTCAAAGTTATCTCTATGGTAAATCAAAGTTTTCAAAGTTATCACCAGTAAATCGAAGTTTTTCCATAGTAAATCAAGGTTTCCATAGTGATCACCATGGTAAATCAAAGTTTTCATAGGTATCACTATATTAAATCAAAGTGTCAAAGTGTTCACTATAGTAAATTAAAGTTGTCATAGTGTCAAAGTGTTCACTATAGTTAACTATCGTAAACTATAGTTAACTATTATAGTATTTTTTTGTTAGGGAACATGTTTTGTCAGATCTGCTGAGTAATGAATCATAATAATTTGATTGTGCTCAATCGCTATTTAGCAAGCTCCCAAACAATATCACAAGTTTTTTTTTCATGGTAAATATGTCAAGAGAAAGACTGACATTGTTCCAATTGTTAGTCATATTTGCCTTTATGATCCCGAACTCACGCCAACTAAAGCTTGCGCTTGTTTTCATGAAAAACATTTGATATGTTTGATAAAATGATGAAAAAGATAGAGACTTGATTAATTTTCGTCAAAGTCAAAGAATTCATGAAATCAGAAACACAAAGGGATTCACCCCTGGAGGTTTTCTAGACTTTGTTGCATTGGTGAAAGGTAGAGGATTTGAAACTTGTCTAGATGCTGCACACAAGTAAAGGGAACTTTTGTTCATTTTTATATTGTAGAAGTAATTGTTGATCATATAGAAATTTACACGTAACAAGTATTCTTCGCGTGATCCTTCGACTTAAGCTCAGCAGTATCTTGCTACAGTTTTAGCTAACTTCGAATACTCCAGTAGCAATTTTACCGTGCTTAAAAGTAGAATGCCTTGTGCACACAAACAAATGAACAATTATCATGTTTACATATATTAGAGGATGGTTATGTGTAAAAACCAAGCTACAGTGTATCTAAATTTTTGGCTTATAGAAGTATGGAGTATATGTCAGTAATATATGCATTTTGAGAGATTAAAGATCGAGTTTCTTTTATTCATCTTTTTGTGTGTTTATGTCATAAAATAAAAATA